ATATTTTTATGATTTGATCCTGAATTTGCCTTCATCTTCTTTGACTGTCATACTATCGATTAATATCACAGTTAGACACTATTAACACTTTATTATAGGGTCTTCATTCGTAWCACCCAATAATAATGCAATTGAATAACTACTACGAAGAGTGAGTGCCGAGTGGTTTTAACTGTCTAAAACATGTGTGGTTAAATATTACGAGATAACGATAAAGATAACTGTAATTGTTTTTAGTGCGACCGGGTCAAGAATTTTTGCATCCTTATATACTGTATAGTCTATAAACTTTAATAGCGTAAATTAAACCAGCTGCTATCGTCTGTAAATAATTCAAAAATCCATGGCTGAACTATATTGCTGGTTGACTATTAATATTAACGTTTTGAATAGTTTAGATCTCTTAACCGTCGGTCTTGAATCATACAGTTTTGAGAATTTTATGTGTTTTTAAAAATCACTTTTTATTAGGTCTTTCACAAAAATATCCAAAAATATCCAAAACATTTAATCATGAAATAACTGATAGGTTATAATTATATAGTTATGCCTATCATATTATGTAGATTCTATACAGCTACTAGAGTTCAAATGCTTGGTGGTTGCATCAGATTTTCTGTTGTTGCTAATTAATAATTTTATGAAAATAAGCTAAAAACAAATGGCATTATRTATTTTGAAATAAATAAATATAATTCAGAATAAATCTAAAGTTATACAAAAATATATCTTTTATCACATTCRCAAACTAAGGAATTAGGATCGATGATAACAACAACATTTTAAATTGTATTTTTAATTTAGGTATAACAGCATAAATATATATAATTGCATAGCACGMAATAGGACAAACCCTCAAAAGAAATGAATAAGGATAGAAAAAATATTKGTATCAAGGTATAATTAGTTATTTATAAATCATCGTGAAATATTTAACTTAATCTTTTTCAATAATAATCGATGAACCAGACTATTTTATCAACGTAGCATTCAATTTCAGTTATTAAAATAAATAAAAATATTTTTATGAACATATTATATCAGTAACTTTATTGAGTATTTTTAGATTATAAGATGAATAAAAATGTTTGCAAAATGTATATCTGTTATGATTTTTGTTTCATCACAAATTCTAATTGAAGAAAACTTAAGAAGTTCTCAAAACCTTTTTATAGTAATTCTATGTATGATAATTTATTCATAGTTATCAATTTTATTTTATATATTCATACTAAACATACAATTGCATATATCAATCTAATTCCTAACCTAAAAAAGAAATTATGAAGTTTTTGATAAATGTATAGTGATCCCTCACTAATGCCTATATTTTGAGTTCGACGACGTTGGATGACGATCAAGTTTTTCAAAGGAGAAATTTACAGGTTTTATTAATTACACAACGTCAAAAGTAATTATTAAATGTTTATTAAGTTACAAATAAAATTATATAAATTTGAGGATAAAACGAAAAGTATCCCGAGAAGTTAATAATCTATTCACTAAAATAAATGGGAGGAACTTAGTCTGGCGGCTATGTAGAGTGCGTAGACTCTACGACCAAATAATAAGTTCTACATGTGTGGGAGATTGAACTACCTAATTCTAATATTCTGCTATGTACAAAGTCCTGTATTTATACAGAATTTGYGTGGCTATAAGTGATACCCGTAAGAGACTAGGAGGTGGATTAAAAGGTACCGACGCGACGCCGTCGTTGTTATTGCCAAATCTAGTTGAAAGTCGTTCCTATTAGCATATAAATCATATATTCTAGGAATTGTAACGAGTTGTTTTTACAAGGCTGGGCATATGAGTATTTTATTATATAAAACATTTTATTATTTTTTACTGCTGATTGTTTTTGATTTTTGGTTACTATTGTATACGATAGATGATTTATATATCGCTACATTGTAATCATATAATCATTTATTATATAATAATAATAATAATAATAATAATAATAATAAATTGACTCTGTTGGCTAACTACATAAACAAATGAATAAATAGAAAGATAAAATAAACACTAAATTGTAGTAGGTATTTTGAAAACGTTTAACACACACTTAATTTATAAAATTAATCTCATGATTGTTGGCCAACAAAATGCTAATAGTTAAAAATACATCAAACTGAAAAATTCATCATTTGGTATACAATTAGATAATAACCTAAATACCGTAATTTAATTTCGTCGATCGTGTACGGTCTTATAAACCTCCAAAGTGTTTAAGTGTGTTACGCACTCGTCCAATCATGAGCTACACACGTGAATATTATGTACGAACAATATTTTGTATATGGCATTTGAATTAAATTACAAAGTTTGTGCTGATTCGATAGTTTTTGTAATAATGAAAACATTATGATGTGTTAARGTTTAAAACCATAGACAACACGATGCACACTGMACACGCTTCTGAGTATTTGCTGTAAACACATTTACGATTTTATTTTTTATCCAAAATACGTTAAAATCCGATGAAACGTATAGCTATTATCTCAAGTCTAAAACAGCTGTAATGCDTCCGTTCGGAAATTATTGTTTAAGGACCAACAATGTTGAATGTAATACCCATTTTATCAGGTCAATTTTAATCACCTGAGTTGTAAACGTCGAAGAATTAGACACGATAAGCACTAATCCAACAAGGAGAAATTTCTATKTATTAATAAACAAAAATTAAGAGTTGTATTTTATCCGATCATATGAACAGATATCAAAATAATATTATATTTTCGCGTTGACTAAAAAAATAATATGTATTACATTTTTTTTTCAACTCATTGATTATGTGTCGCGTGATGGTCGGGATGACTGTAGGATTTGTCCAAAATATATATATATATATATACATATAATATATATATTGTATTGCGTTTACCGTATAATATTACGTCGTAAAATGCCGAAGTCGATACACGTGTGTGCTATTGTGTATACGATTTTATTAAATAGTTCACGCATTTCAAACGTCGGATCCCAATAACATGCAGTATAACGTCCCGCTGAGGAACGTTCGCGGGCAACGACACGACGCAAGCAATAAAATTTATATTATCTCCATCAAATATTAGAACAATAGACGCCACGGGGTCCATTTGAAATCGATTGCCCTTCAGGAGGGGGGGGTACCTATATATACTGTTGACCGTACATATTACGCGAAATTGGTGAACGGTTAGCACGTGTATATGCGATCCAGAGACAATTGCGCGACTTAATATAATATTTGAGACACGTCGTGTGTGTGTGTGTCGGATGTATATTATAGTGTCTTCGACATATTGCAGCAAATATACTGTAGCCAAACCATAATACTTTGCGCAGGGCTGGATTTAGGGTCAACGGCACCGCATGRAACAAACAAATGAGGGGTATGACCATGTCAAGCCAACCCTATAGCCGTACGTAATTGAAAAACAGCAAACTATATTTTTGTCTGTTTTCATATTTTACATTTTATAATATCAATTATTATTATTTATTTGAACAATTCTATTGTTTCCGAAAATTTGAATACTTGCAATATTCTAGGTGCCTGTATAATTATAATAAAACAGATACCAGCATTCGTTATTCTTAGAAATGTTTACTTTCTATACGTATTTGTAACCGGGATTTTGTGTTCCATAAAATGATATTTATCTCCGATGCCATAAAATAATATTATACAATGCCTGTGTGTGTAAATAAATCTGCTTTTAATATTTTATCGGAATTTTCGGATTCCCTGACAAATTTTTCATCGTTTTTTCAATCTCACTAAATCCCATAGGTATTTATTTCACATCTCGTTACAATTCAATTACGCTGAATGACGATCAACAATTGAAAAGAATGGTCTAATCTTTTCACAAATTGGTAGTTGTCTCTTAATACGTATTTKCCGTGAGTAAAGCTGTCTAATATAACTTATATAAAATACGAAAACACGAACATACTTTCTCAACAATTTGGCTAGTAATATTCTTCTAGGAAAATAAAATTATATTTTTTGATTGAATTTTTTTGTTATGCATTTACAATGTTAAATTTGCCTCCTTATTTTAACATTTAAAAATTAAATGTTATTCTTTTATAATATAATTAATTGCATTTGCACAACATGATCTTGTAATGTAAAAATTCTTTGGTAACGTAAAATAATATTTATTTTTTTCTATATAAATTAAAATAGTATACACAATCACATAATGGATGTATACAACCTATCCCGTTGTTATTTATTTGCATTGGGATTTTTTAAATAAATAATTGGTGAAAATCGTAAGCCTAAAAGATAATTGTTTTATTGATATATTTTTTTAAACTATATAACAAAAATGTATTKATTTCACGAAATAATTACTCAAAAGTGTTCACGTTTATTTTAAATTGTTCGATTGTTCTTGGTATAGGCTAAAAGAAATTAATGGACAAAATATGAAATATAAATAAACAAAACTAATAAAACCTTATAATTCACAGATCACAACCAATACATTAATTATTATCGTATCACTATTCACTAATTATGCACACAATACTGTAGACACAAATCATGTACTTATTAAACGCTGTTTAAAAACTCAATTTTTATACAACATTTTACCATCGAATCAATTCAATGTTTCTGACAAGCTCTGAAACTTATATGTATACTAGCTGATCTCTGTGCACTTCGTTGCCCGTTAAAAATACCAATTCTATATAATTCAAAATTTTTGTTTAATTCCTCATTTAATACCCGGCTTAATAATGAATTTACATAAATAAACAATAGTTTTCGAAAGTTGATTAATATCTTTATTTAATTTTATAAATTTACTAGTTATTCATAATAAATGAAAAAAAAAACACGTGCAAAAAAATATAATGGATAATAATATGTAAAATAAGAGGAATAAAAGAATTTGTTATTATGATGATAACTTTCCCCTCCACTATAATATTTTCTTCTTCACGGATGTTGTATATTCAGACAATAATTTATTATATTTATTCTCTGACAGATTGGTTTATCAAAACTTCAAAGTAGAATAAAAAAGCACTTGCTGTTGACTGTTGTTGGTTTCGTAAATTGAATGGTGATAATGTAATAATATGATACGTGTAAAAACAATTGGAATAAGAGTGACATTTAATATACGGATGGAGATTACTGCTGCAYWWTATTAGATTATTACTTTTTTGAATTAATGTAAGTACACATGAGAATTACTTAAATCGCACGATGTCAACGYGAATCAAATTAGTGGTTTAGTATTGCGCTCGATGTAAACAAAACTAAAAAAAATTATAGTGCAATGAATAATTATTGAAGGGTTGGTCTGTAGATATATTGAACGACATTCAACCGTTTGCGTCACTCGGAATCGGTTTTACGGTTAGGTTTTAAAAAAATAATAATCATTTTTTTTTTTTTTTTACTGCACACGCTACAATGTTTGTTTCAATTCATTCACGTTTCAGGGGCAGATGCGGCAAGTCCGGGCCCGGAAGAAAGTGGCCAAGACTGTGCTGGCTTTCGTGCTGGTGTTCGCCGTGTGCTTCTTGCCCTATCACGTGTTTATGTTRTGGTTCTACCTGAACCCCAAGTCCCAGGACGATTACAACATATTCTGGCATGTGTTGCGCATCGCCGGCTTCTGTCTGTGCTACAGCAACTCGTGCATTAATCCCATCGCCCTCTACCTGGTCAGTGGCACGTTCCGCAAGCACTTCGACCGGCAGCTGTTCTGGTGGATCGTCAAGCCCCAGGGCGGCACGGTCACCGAGTCCAAGAACGGATACATGCGCCGGAAGAATGGTACCCGGGAGAAAGACCGGATCACCATCAACGATTCGACTACCATAGGCAACGTGCAGATGAGCACGTTCGCAAAACGAGCCGGTGACACTAACCACACCACTACCACGGCCACCACGACTACGGTACTCATATGTACAGGACTCAACGACGCCAACACCATCATATAGGTACGGTGTTGATAGGCCGTAGAGTTACAGTATACCTTACTGTAAATACTATAGGAATGATAGGTTGCGTGTTTGCGTGTTTTACTAACGTTCTGTGTGCACTGTCCAGTAATTTTAACGGGAATTTATTTTGGTAAAACGAGGTACCTGTCTTTGTTATAGTAATAGTAATAATATTACATTATTACCCTTAAAAATACATGTTGATGAGACATTAGTACCTATCGATAAGCTGGAATAGGTCAT